ATTCTCCTTGAGAACAAACATGACATAATAACTCTTTTATTTGAAGAGTTTTATTTGACTTCTCATATGATGTTCTCATGAATTCTCAAAGAACCTTTTTCACATCAAGATCCGGGATGGTCTAACCGGACCAACCAATTATCAAGTTATCAAATCTTGTAAACTTCTGGTTTACACTTTTATGTGTACTACTGTACTAATATACATGTAGTACATATTTGTGATGCAAATATTAGTTTCACTATTTTCTTGATAAGATATTCATTTTACGAATATCCTTTTAATTGGGTAATGCATCATCACTAGGTAGTTTGGTTCCTTCAGGCAACAAAATTAGCTCCTTTAAAGCTTTACCATATTTTGTACCATATTCCACCCTTCCAGGGACTTATGATTTGATGCATTCTTAGTAAACATAAATTCATAGTGAATATCATCACAAATTATTATCACGAGTACATAATTTAGTTACTTCAAGTAATCAAACATAAGCTCTTCGGAAGCTTTTTCTGATTTATGTACTCTACCATATAGTTTATATGGAATTTTTCTAACAATCATACTTTACAAAAACATACTAAAAGTAATAAATGAGAATATTTCAAACTTAAGACAAAAATGATGAATTTATCAAGTTAATTGTTCTAGATAAAGGTTATCAAATTAAATTATGCATGTCAAATAACGTCACAATAAAACATAAAAGAAATAAGAATAATAATACTACAATTGTGAAAAATAAATAAGATTTATTTGGAACAATACCATCACTAACTGGGTGATTTTAAATTTATATATGTGTTTCATTATACATTATAATGTACAACATGTACATTATGTTATCGTGACTTTGATAATGCAATTGTGGTGTCATCCTTATTTATAGTTCTCCTTTTATCCTCTTTTCTCACTTCTGGTGAAAATATCCAAACAATACATTTAACATATATATAATTATGTTTGTAGCTCCATTCACTTCGGAGAATAGATTGTTTCATTCACTTCTAGAAATGAAAATTTCTCAAGTGCAATATCATTTTCCTCTTAATGGAGAATATACCAACTTATAATACAAAAATATGTTCCATAATATTGATATTTCAGGAGCGTATATGAATTAGCTTTTCCCTTTGATTCTTGGTAGAATAAGGTCTTTTGCGTACAACAGGTACGAGACAAATGCAATTTTCCATTACAATGGTAACATACAAAACCAATCTTCTTGTTACCATGTCCACTTCTTTCTTTGTCATTGGATACTTCAATTTCCACTTCTGGGGAATATATGGGCTCTTGGAAGTTGCATTTTCTACATATCAATGTATGATTGATAAGAATAGGATAACACGGAGAACTGAGAAATTAGCTCATCACTTATATTACTTTTCTTGTTAATCCAAATAGATCGATGTGATAAAATATCAATGGATATGAGAAGTAGCACCCATCTTGATATATTGGAATGAGATAATCTCAACACAAATAAGACAATAAGATAAGAAAGGATCTAAGATTTACATATCTTGATCATATTGTGATCTTACTCCAATATCTTAGATTATGTCGAGAGTCTTTGAGGCTTGAACAATGATAATTTTGGCAGAGCTTCGTGCTGAGAACGTGTTATAAAACTAATGGAAAATATAAACAACTACAAGAGAAGATTAGAGAGGGAAAGACACAAAGAAGAGAGGGGGAAGTGAGCTTTCTTATTCATTCTTCACTTTTGATACAATAATATGCTCTATTTATAGGCACACTTTGGTAACCACTACATCCTTATATCAATGCATATGAATGAAAGATAATAATGTAGAAATAGGGGTTACATGTAACTCCCAAATGAGCATCTAATGTGACAATGGCAATGATCATCCATATATCAATATTTACATAATACTCAACTATAAATCTTACATTTTTTTTACCTTAGAACTATACTTTGTTTTAGCAATAACCCTTTCCCTTCTGTCAATTATCACTATAAAGTATAAACTCTGTTATCCATGAGCCCCACTGAAAATAAACTAAAAAATTAAAATCTTAACTAATAAAAAAAGCCTACAAAAATGGGGATTTTTAATTTTATATTATTTTATTTTCTTTTTTACTTAATTTTATATAATTTAAATATAATATTTAATTACATTTGCAATTGCAAGTTAATTGCATTGATGTAGGTGAATGAAATGAATGTGATGTGGATTGCAAAAAATTTGAGTTGACAATAAAATACACAAATGCAATTTCTTTTGCAATTGAAGATGCTCTAAGGGTCTTATAAAAAAGGGTTAATACCCTCGTTTGGCACGAAGTATAGCGTTAATGACATTTCTGGCCCCATTTTTCAAATAAGACATCTCTGGCCCACTTTTGAAATTATCGGACAAATTTGGCCTGTGGGACGGGTTGACTGTCAGATTTGACGGTCAACCATTTTCTCCGTTGCTGACTCAGCACTCAACTCTGACGTGGCTTGTCCACGCCATTTACTAATTTTTTCTTAAAAAAAAAACTTAAAGGGAAGGGAGACACCAGGACCACAGCAGCCCTACCCTTTCCCCTTTACCCTTTCCCCTTTCACCTTTCACCTTTCCCCTTTACCCTTTACCCTTTCCCCTTTCCCCTTCGATCGTGCGAAACCCCACCATACCAGAAAAACGATCGGAGGCAGCCCTCGCCGCCGCCAATCTTCTTCCTATTCGTCGCCTTCCATCGTCACAGAGCCCAATCGACACACCGCCATTCAGAGTAGGGTGAATCATTGTTATATCGGCATTAGTTTGCTGTTTGTTTTATACTCTATCAGTTGGCTCCTACGTGGGTAAAACGTGTGTAATGCAGTAGTTGTCGAGTTAGCTTCAAGTTGAGCTAGTTTGATTGCAGTAGTTGTCGAGTTAGCTTGTAATGCAGTGAGGTTCATCTTTGTTAGATTGTAATGCAGTGAAGTTCTAGTTTGTTAGATTGTAATGCATTGAAGTTAAAGTTGTTTGCTTGTAATCCAGTGAAGTTGTAGTTCGTTTGCCTGCAGATACCATAACCTGGAAACAAGTTCATGAACACAAACATACAATTTCATAACCTAAATTCAGCATGAACACAAGGTGACATAACCTGGAAACAAGTTCATAACATGGAAACAAGTTAATGAACACAACTACACAAGTTAATGTCTGAAAACAGCATAAACCATGTTCCATACGCGAGTCTAGACATTCCCTAACACATGCCTATTACATGTTCAAAATACAAAAGAAGAGAGATGTCATTTTCTTGGTTCATCATATCCACCCTTGCTTGTTTACTATGTCTCGGGTTGAGTCGATGGAGGTTGAGTACTGTTCATTGGCGGATAATCTGGTTCATTTGGTTCCCTTCTACCTCCTTGTTGTGGAACTCTAGTACTCATCTGCAATATCAGGCAATAATGAGCATTATTTTCACCTAAGAAGGGAATCTTCAGGCCACATAGAGTTTTAAAAGATAGCAGCTAACCCGAGAATACATGTTTCCAGAAGTAGGATCAATATAAACGCCGATTCCTTGTGCAGCCCTCCGCACTTCCCGTTCCATTTGTTGCCTGCTACAAGTGCCCATGCTTTCAATCTGTAAGAAAAATCAGCAAAAACATGATAAGTTGAATTCATTCACAAAGCTTTCAATCTGTAAGAAAAATCAGCAAAGACATAATAAGTTGCATTCATTCACAAATCTGCATCCTTATAAAGTCCAACTGACATCTTACCTGAACTCCAACCCTCAACGGACAAGTCTTCGAGTTGTGATTAAAAGCCCCACATCTAGAACACTGAGGCCTTTTTCTAACTCTCTCCTGAAAGACAATTAAATTCAGATCTAACTACTCTATTAACACAACACATGAAATTTGAGGAGCATAGTACGAATTGACTTACCCCATTGTTAGGTGCAGCCGCTGCATTCTGTGGGGCAGCACCTCCTCCCTTTGTTTCCCCTCGTTTCTGCCTTTTACTAGCTGGAGGAGCTGGCTGTGGTGCAGGTGGATTTGTGCAACTCCTTTTGTTATGGCCTTCACCCCCACACCTGGAGCAATGGACTATATTGTGATGCCTTGTAGCAACCACACCAACACCATTTTTAGCACTCTTCGTGAGCAACTCGGCAGCCTCCTTTCTTCGGTTTCTCTTTGGGCGGCCAGGCAGTTTCCTTATCTTTGGAGGGTAGATCTTGTACCCTTCCACTGGCAGCCAAGCTTGAGGTCCTTCTGAAGCTGGAATAGGATACTTGTATGAATTTTTCACATAATCCAGTTGAAAGTACCGATGCACATACGCCTCAGGATGAAATCTCATAGAATGAATGGCTGAAACGGCGTGACAGCAAGGAATGCCATAAAGTCCCCAATATCCACATGTGCAGGTAGCAGTCTGCAAATCAACAACATACCCTTTCCCATGTATCTGCACCTCATGTTTGTGAGCTGAAGATGGCCGACTAGTACACAACCTAGCTTCGTCCTTATGTTTTTCCAGCTTACTCTTCACAATGGGAGGAAATGTCCCTCTACAGCGACCCATTTTCCTTTTGTTGCTCACCAAACGAGTCATCACAGCCACCCTGATTCCCTCTAGCATAGCAAGCACCCTAAGCACTCGGAACTTCATGATCCAATTATTAAACGACTCGCACACATTGCTCTCCACAGATCCACATTTTGAATGAGTCTTCATGAATACTCGACAGAACCGCTCTGGTTCCATGGCCATAAAGTCCTCATACACAGTCCCTCCAAGTTCCTTCATCTTGGCAGTGGAAGCTTTCCAATCAGCCTCGTTGGTGGAGTAGACGGCTTCCCAATACAACGTGGTAGCCATATCAAATCTGTGCTTTGCTTTAAAGTGTGCATGTAAGTGGCGAGCACACTTCCTATGCTCTACATGCGGCAAGCACTCATGGATGGCCTCGACCAAATCCTATCAACAAGATAGTCAAATTAAAAGCAAGATAATATGTGAAGAAAATCAGCCGAATTGTAAACAATAGTCAAATTGATGTAGTAAGCTTACCTTTTGTTGGTCGGAAACAATAGTCCAACCATTTCCATCTCCAAGATGCAGCTTTTCTTGCAATGTTTGAATAAACCATGTCCACGAACTCCCATTCTCAGACTCGACTACTGCCCAGGCTATCGGATACATGTGATTGTTTCCGTCCTTTCCAACTGCACTAAGTAGCATGCCTTTAACTTCACCTTTCAAAAAGCATCCATCAAGGCAGAAGAAAGGCCTACACCCCTCCAAGAACCCTCGAGCCAAGCTTGAAAAACCCACATAAAATCGCTTGAAGTAGACCTTCTCGGATCCAGGTTCCAAATCAACCTCTAGACGAAATGTTCCATCCGGGTCCACTCTCTGAAGATGCCCTACATATGAACGCATCCGATGAAAATCTTCTTTCAACGTGCCATGGAGAATGCGCCTTGCTTCTATGCGAGCTCGGTAACAAGCTTTTCGTGTCACCTCTAGGTTGTGCTTCTGCTTTATCTCAGCTGCCATCAAATTCACATCCCACTCTTGCTCCACCCTAAACCGCTCCAGATATTCAGTAGCTATCCACTTGGCAGTAGCACCACGGATTCGAAATGAACGCGGGCAATCATGTGGTGTACCAACACCCTTGATCATAAAGGTCTCTCTCTTCCCATACCAAGAAGCATACACCCTCCAGCTACACTTCTGTGCACAGACAACCTCTTTTTTCTTCTCACTACTACGAACCCATCGTATATCAGCACCAATTTCGATGGAATGTCTTGTAATGGCATCTTTAAACTGCTGAGGACTAGCAAACCTCATATGGGTAGTGATCAACAATGTCTTATGATCGCAATTGGGATCATAAAAATGACACTTGTCGATCATAGAGACTTCATCTTCCTCGCCAATGTTGCCACGAACATGATCTGAGTTCTCAGACCCCCGATAGACTGTTGCTTCAGACCCTTGAGCTTCATCATCACCCATACAACCACTATTCTGAACCTCCTCTTCTTGTCCCTTGGCGGCTTCTTCATCGATATTCACACTAGGTTGAACAGTCTCGTTCACCTCATCAGGTTCTACAAACAACTGATCAACTTCTTCTCCAGATCCATTCTCCCCAATCCTAGACCGCTGTAGCATGCGACGATATCGGGCCCGAATTTCATGGTATTCCTCATCCGACGTTTGAGCATCATCTTCATCTAACCGGACGAACTCTGCTACAACAGAGTTATCACCCTCCTCATCTTCAACCTCCTCGCTATGCCCATAGTTGTCTCCCATCTCATGAATGAACTTAGTTGCTTCAAAAAACAAAGACACCTCTCCTAGCTCGGCAGCCACAAGTAAACCATTAATAACGTCGGCATCAGTGCGTATCTCGTGCAGCCCATGTTCCATACTTTGTCCCGGAGTCAAATACCACACCCTTTCCACCGACGAATACTCTAAATCCTCGATCAATGTACTCACCAACTCAAAATATGACATTTGATCAACAAGCAGCTGAACTCGGTCGACATCCCCTCCAACATATATCGGTACCTCACCCGCTGTATCCATCATTCCCCCATGATGAAATAAAAAGTCGATACTCATCCTGAAAAATTGGGCAAAAAATGGGTCATTTAGTGTTCGAAAACCCTTGTTTATTGAAAGGGACATTGTTTATTCACATACAAACAAGCACTTTAGTGTTGGATACTCAGAATCCCTAAACAGAAAAGGAACAGAAATGGACATTGTTTATTCACATACAAACAAGCACTTTAGTATTATTTACCGAGTTCTCAGAATCCCTAAATAGAAAAGATACAAAAAGGGACATTGTTTATTCACTTCTGCACTTTCCCAAATTCGATTCCAATAAGATAAAGTGTAGAAAACGACATTCAGAACTTTACCTATTTCAGCTCAAAAGCTAATTTCGTATTGCTCGACTGGTCCCTCCTTGCTCGACTGGTCGCACAAGAAAAACACTGCACAGAGGACCAGTTGCTCGACTGGTCCCTCCTTGCTCGATTGGTCCCACAAGAAAAACACTGCACAGGGGACCAGTTTATCGCAGGCGGAAGACGGGAGAGGGAAAAGAAACGCGGCGCGGCCAAGAAAGGGTCGGCCGGCCGCGCACTCGATTCTGATCGGCGGTGACTCGATCGGGCTGGGTTAGGAGGCGATGATGAAGGGAAAGTAAGGGGATAAGGACGGGGAAGGGGATACGAGCGGGTGGGGTTTCACAGAAGGAAGAAAGTCGGGGAAGGGGATACGAGCCGGCGATGGGGTTTCACAGGAGGAAGAAGGTCGGGGAAGGGGATACGAGCCGACGATGGGGAGAATCGAGTGGGATTTCAAGATTCGGGCCGACGAAGAGGACAATCGAGTGCCATGCACTCCGATTTGGGTCGGATTCCGTTTCTGGAGAAGATCGGGGAAGGGGATACGAGCGGGTGGGGTTTCAAGAGGAAGAAGGTCGAATGAAAGGGATGGGTAAGATTGGCGGCGGCGATTGGCGGCGGCGAGGGCTGGTGGCGAGGGCTGCCCCTCCGATCGTTTTTCTGGTATGGTGGGGTTTCGCACGATCGAAGGGGAAAGGTGAAAGGGGAAAGGGTATAGGGGAAATGGTATGGTGTGGTCCTGGTGTCTCCCTTCCCTTAAGTTTTTTTTTTAAGAAAAAATTAGTAAATGGCGTGGACAAGCCACGTGAGAGTCGAGTGCTGAGTCAGCAACGGAGAAAATGGTTGACCGTCAATCTGACAGTCAACCCGTCCCACAGGCCAAATTTGTCCGATAATTTCAAAAGTGGGCCAGAGATGTCTTATTTGAAAAATGAGGCCAGAAATGTCACTAACACTATACTTCGTGCTAAACGAGGGTATTAACCCTATAAAAAAAAATGCTCTAAGGGATAATTAACAAAACCCCCCCTTATTCCCAAACCCACCCAAGACTCTTCCCATTCTCGTACTTGTTCTCCGTTCCTCCAAATTCAGAAGCTCTTTGCTCTCGAGAAATTATCCTCCTCCCCAAAAGCAAGTTAATTCGTTAATTAATCGAATCCACAGACCACAAGTGCTTCGGTCGGCAACAATTAGCAAGGACAGAGACTCTACGATGACCTGGTTAGAATCGACAACGATGAGACGAGATGGCGATGTCGCAGTGGCTTTTCCCGGCCAATTCCGTAGGAAATAGATAGTCGCTAGAAAGCCCCACTTTTACTTTAGAAATAAATCAAATAATTCCAACATCGGACCTCCAAACAGAGCCGAAGAGGAACGCTTGCTCGTAGTCACCAAGAAGCTCTCTCTCTCTCTCTCTCTCTCCCCACCCCCACGAGGGGTTTTCCGATCCCTCCCACACTCAAAGCGGCGCAATCCTCCGCGCAATTCTACGATCTCTCCCTCCCTTCGAGCGGCGCGATTCTCCGATCTCTACCTCACTTTGAGCGACGTGAGTCGCCGATCCCTCCCTCACTCCGACGCGGTTCTCCCATCCCTCCCTCCCTCACTCCGACGTGGTTCTCCGATCTCGTTCTGGCTGATCAGGTAATATCCCTAGTACTTTTTTCACTTTGTTGGGGTCTATTGCCATTAGTCTCCGATTTTGTTCATCTGAACTTGACTTGCGTTCGGTTGGGTTAATGGAAACTAGAGTATAAGAACTTTTAGGTCACTTAAAGCGGTTCTTCATCTTTGTCGTCACTGAGATTATCAATGCAATTTGATAGATGATAGGAGTTTTGGATTAATGTTGTAATGCTTAGTTTAATCATATTGGTTTCATTTCATCAATTGAAGTCCCACGACCTGGTTCTGTTCTTCCAAGCTTATGCTGCATGCTAGCTAGTACAATAATAATCTCTTTATGGGAATTATTTGGTACTTGTGTGGTGGGTAACATATCATCTACATTAAACAGCGGGCATGTATGTATCAGTGGTTTTCTCTTGCGAACAGAAAGTTGATTCTGAAATGCTTAGTCCAGAAACTTCATTCATGGGGTTAGGCCATTTGGATTCATGTTGGTTGTGTAATGATACTTGAACGAATTGCATCTACTTTGAATCTTATTGCTGTAGGGGTAACTGTCTATTCATGTGACGAATCTACAATATGGTCATTTGTAGGGAATGGCCTCAAATTTGGTGGTGCTTAATCAATGCATAAAAACGGTTTGTTGTATGGAGGTGTGTTTCTGGTTCTAGGCTGTTTCCCCCCGTGAAGAGGGGGAATTGGGGCCAAGAAGGGGAGTGTGGTGGGTTTCTAATTTCTTGTCTTTGGGCATTTGTCTCATCTTTATTTCCTTTTCAGTAGTTTAGAATTGAGTGTACTGACTAACCAATTTGGATTAGTTTATCAGTGTTGACTAACCCATGATACTTGATCTTGTTACAGAGTGCTTTTAATATGAGATTAGTTAAGAATGTAGCTAGGCTAATGTACCCGTGTAAGTCTCTCAAGGGTAGATGACGCCGTGTTGTTTTGATCAAAGTAGTAGTGTGTCCATGTCCATATAAGCCATTTTGTTTAAGTTGGAGGAACTGTGATGATTTTGTTTTCCTTGCTTTTCTTCTTCTTTTCCCTTTTGTGATGCCCTAGGCGGCCTCTATGGCAGTTAGGACCATTGCCACTGCCTGCTTGCTGTTTATATTTTACTACTTCTACTCCATGCATGTATAAAGACTTACAATTAACAACTCAACTCAACGTATGAGTCCAGAAACCCATTAGTGTATGAAGTAACATAAATTGTGGTAATCAAGTTCCAGAAAAAAGTATGAAGTAACTAAACAGGTTTTCATTTTCAGAATTCAGATTCAGAACTCATCAAAATTATCGGTTAAACAAGGTTTTTTCAAGTTTGGTTTCTCAGGAAATTGCAGCTTCATTTTCATTTTAATTTTGTTTTCTGTTGTGGCAGCTTTAAGAAATGGAATGACAACTAAACGGCTCATTAGTGTACAACTACTTGGGCGGAGAAGATAAGTATGTTTCAAAGTAGCAAGTTAGGACTTGTGCAACTACTTCGAGCCACCATTGACCAGCATAGTTATGAGACTTCAAATGTTTTGAAACCAGGGGTCTTAGAGCAAGGCCAATGGAATAAGCCCTCACTGCATCTGGGTTTGGAGTTTTGAGTAACAAGCATAGCTCAGGATGACTGGCGTTATAATTGGTTGGAAAAGAAAAGAGCCGGCCTTCTTGCTACTCTATATTGTTGTTGTATTTATTTACTTCATCCACCGAACTCTTCAGCTCGCTCATGGTGAGTTCGCTCTTTGGTTTTCTTTTCCGTCTATTCTTGTTCCTACTTTCGAGTCTTGAAGGCTAGCATGCAATCTAACATCTTCATATTTGGCAGAGCACAAGTCAAAACTGTATGGCTTACGCCCTGGCTGGCTCTTCCCTTATAGTCTTAATGTGAGAGTTCTTCCTCCTTTCTTTCATCAATATGTTATTCCAGTCCTTTCTCACACGTATCTCCATGCTAAAGGCAGCAAGAAATTGCATAGTTTTATCCCTTGATCTTCCACGATTCAATATTTTCCCCCAGAAACCCATGATTCGTTTTATTTTTCATTTTGGTTCATTCCTAGTTACCTTTGATTTGCATTTGTACTCTTTTCCCATTCAGGATGTCTCTGATGCCCAATGGAGAAACTTTCGTGGGAATCTACCTATTCTTACTTCTGTATTTGCACTTTTCGCTGTCGTAGCCAATGCATTGAAGGCCTTCTTGTCTTTGGGAGCTAAGGGCATGTCCATTTCATGGATTTTGATTTCTTTGGCCTATTTGGCATATCTTCATGGGGCTTGGTATTTCTTCCTTTTTCCTCAAATGCTTTATTCCTTGTGAGTATAACATTCTGGTTTTGGTTTGACTCAAATCCTCGTTTCTCTTTGCAGCACCATCTACATCTTGTTAATAGCTTCTGCCAATTATATTCTAGTAATGGTGAGTTACTTTGAATGTTGGACCTTTCTTGCGTTTATGATACATTACCTTTATGTACTTATGGGTAATTACACTTCCATTCCTTTAATTTCTTGTGCTTATCTGTGATAGTCTGCCTTCGTTCATCACTTTCCTGGATATCTTTCTCCAACTCTGCAACGCCCAATGTGATCAAGCTGACCTATTTGTGTTAAGAGCCTAATTAATTTATTAGATATAAGTTGCTTTCTTTAACAAGCATAGTCATAGCTGATCGAATCTAAGGGAAAATTTAAGCTCCTGAAAGTACAAATATCGAGTGGGATGCCGTAATAAAGTAAACCCCTTGTGATCACAATCTCCCCCCTCTCCCCCAATCTTTGACTCCCTTTCTCCAATGATTTTTCAAGTCTATGATATATTGTACAATGTCTCTATTTCTGCAGATATTTGCACGAACAAAGTACTTCTCATTTGCTATTTGGGTTTTCAACATTTTTGTTCTTGTTTGCAATCGGATTTATGAGGGATATTCATTCTCCATATTTGGGTGAGCTTTCTGAGTTAAGTTTTTTACTTATTTGTTGGACGCAAAATCAAAATGTATCCTTACTTCTCCAATGCTAATCTTTTTCTTGTAGGGAGCAGTGGGCATACTTAGATAACTTTCGAGGCACCTTTAGGTGGCACATTTGCTTTAACTTTGGTAAGTAAAGTTCTTTATCTGTCGATTTAATTCAAACCTTTACTTCCGCAGGTAAGTTATGAATATGCTATCATCCTGTCTTCTTGTATTGGGGTTTAACAATTTGTCTCTTTGTTGCAGTTATTTTGCGCATGTTAAGCTTTGGATATGATTATCATTGGGCTAATCAACAACGTCATTTTGATCAAAGAGTAATTGCCATACATTAGATTGCTATGATTTGTTTGTAATGTTGCTATCTTGGATCTAGAAACATATTATTTCTTTCCATGCTTTTGACCGATTTAACAAAACAGCACTACATCCGTGAGGTAATGGATGCTTAAAACTACGCTACTTTTCCAAAATGAGAGGGGATCTTTGTCCTACATTGTCCAATGTTGTCTTTGAGTATTCTTGGCAAGATTTTCAAGAATATAATTCTATGAATGTGTTCTCTTTGCATCCCGATCATGTTGCACTTTGATTTTCTTATGCACTACAGAGTTAAATGTAATCAAAATCAAGTTGTATCTCCAATGATCAATCAGAGCAACACTCCTATTCTCGATAGTCAAGAAAATATGATTCCGAGACACAACCCTCATGGTTAATCATTAAAAAATACATATACATGTGAAAAGTTGTATGTTTTTCCACATTTATGAGGATTTCAACTATTTTTATTGTGTAAGAAGATGGACATGCCATCCTTGTAATTGTAGTTATTCCCTGGGTCAGCCTTTAGGTATCCCTTGGCTGTTGGTCAAACTTTCTTAGTATCCTTTGTTTGGCAATTCTTATGAGTTTATTTTCCCTAGTACCACTTTTTGCTCCTCTTCTAAGTTAAACTCCTCTATCAACTTTGTTTCTAGGGTCTTACATTCAGCTTGTGCACACGCACACCCTTTTGGTTTACTCGCTAAATAGATTTATTGTAGCTTCAATAGACGGGAGGGATTTTTTTCTTTGCCTATCATGCCGATGAAAGTGTTATTTCTGCACGTCACCTTGTTGCCGTGTGGCCTTGACTTCTTTAAACTCTTGTGCGTAAAAAAGCTTTTATTTTTCACTCAAGCACGTGCATCTGTTACCCTCTCATACTGTATGGTCAGTAGTAGCTATAAGCTAATTTTTTTTTGGTACCGATAAACCCAGAAGCACATCCAACGTTGCCATACTTGTAAATCTGGGGGAATCTGCTACCAATTGCTACAGGTACCTTTGTGCTCTTTCAGTGGACTCCTCGAATTTTGAGATACTTAAAAGGAATTTTGTGGTGGATATCTGTAACTGCTTTATATATTCAGGAGAGAAGTGTGCCAATTGATAACTTTTCATTCAGTGTGTACTTATCATATCTGGTCTATGCGCCACTTTACCTTGCTGGCCCAATCATAAGCTTCAATGCCTTTGCTTCACAGGTATTTATCTTCATCTTCAGGTGCAATATTTATTCTACAACTAATTGTTCTGTTGTAAAATTAGTCTACTAATGTAGTAACACCATTGAGGAATTATTGTCAGTCCAAGAGATTTCATTTATTTTATGTACTCCCGATTGGACTATGAATGCAGATGTGTCTTAAAATACATTGTTGCAGTTGTACCAATAAACTCTTGAACTTTCTGATTTATGAATTCAATGTGTTGCAGTAATGAATCATTTCTGTTAGAATCTCAGCTCCGAATATGAGTGTGATGTGATAGTAGTAATGAATAGTTTCTGTTGGATTCTTGTTTAACCGTTACTTGTCCTGAAATGTTCTTGCAGCTAGATATGCCAGCACGAATTTTCGCAACCAGAGATGTACTCTGGTATGGTTTACGGTGGATATTCAGCTTCATGATCATAGAGATCATGAATCATTTATTTCATTACAATGCATTCGCAGTCAGGTAAAATTTAGTAACTTAAGGATAACCGGCTAAAATTCTTACAATGATAATCAACTTATTAAAGCTGTTCTCAATCAACCAACAGTGGCCTGTGGAAGTCGTTGTCACCTATGGACATGTTCATCATCACATATGGGGTAAGATCTCAGCTCCATACCACCTTGTTCCTGCATTTATGTGTTTGTAGCTGTTGATACAATAGTTTGTTACGGAGCTTTTTCTTCTCCATCGATTGAATGAGACAAGGTAGCCTAGCCCAACCTATTATGCTGGATATGAAATCAAACTACCTGTTTTTTCTGGGGTAGAAGTAGAAGTGTGATTCTGTTAATTGATATGTTGCAGGCTTATAATGTACTCCCCTAATCCCTCATTAGCATCACCCATAGATCAAACTATTATGGTTCATGCATAATAATGCAATGAAAATCTCCATGACATAGGAACCAACATACAGGGAAAACCAGTGCTGGCAAACTGAGTTCCAAGCTTCCAGCTGTTCTGTTCAATAGTGTGACCTCTCTGTTCCTGTCATATTGAACTGGCACTTGCTTGTCCGGTACAACTACCTTTCTTAAGATTCTGATTAAGTGAAGAGAAGCAGTCAACCATCCCATTTGTCGCTATTTTCTACTTGCAAGAGCATATTTACCATGTTCATGCACATGTACAAATAATTTAGTCATCCTCATTGGTCTGCCTGAATTAAGATTATTGAGTTCATATGTTTGATAAGTCGTGCAAATCATTGAAGTGATGTATCGGAAATTATTGCAGCAGTTCTCAGCTCTCTCCCTAGGACATGGTCTCCTCTCTGATTAGTTTAATAACTGTCTACTGCTACAGGTCTTGAACTTTATGTGGCTGAAGTTTTTCCTCATATGGCGCTATTTTCGGCTTTGGTCACTGGTATGGTTATGGTTGCTAAGATTTGGAGCTTTGGAGTATTTTGCTCTGGCATTTAGTTCTATGCACATCAGACTTAAACAACATGCTTTACAGATTAGTGGCATAGAGGCTCCTGAGAATATGCCTAGGTGCATAAATAATTGCTACAACTTGGAGAGCTTTTGGAAAAATTGGCATGCTTCCTACAATAGATGGCTTGTAAGGTGCACCTTTTTTTTGCGCATCATGACTTGTATTCATCCATGGTTTCAGCTATGAGATTTGTTCTCTAAAAGTTCTATTTTTCCAGGTACATATATATTCCCCTTGGTGGGTCTCGGACGAAGTTTCTAAACATCTGGGTGATATTCACATTCGTTGCTATTTGGCATGATCTAGAATGGTAAGTCAATGTTCTTTTCTTGTTCCCGAACAATTTAGCTGGTAATCTGATAATGGTTTATTGCATTTTACCTCAGGAAACTTCTCTCATGGGCATGGCTAACATGTTTATTCTTCATCCCAGAAATGGTAGCCAAATCAGCAATCTCTACACTACAGGTGGTCTATCTGTAAATGATCAAATGCAGTATTTAAGTTCATAATCCATGGGAATTTATACCTTGGCATCAGCGTTCATTTTTCATTTTCTAAGTGTCAAGCACATGCATTAAAGCAGCTCACATGCTGCTGGTCACTTCATTTGCCCCCTCCCCCTTTTTTTTATAATACTTCATTCTGTTTGGGAAGGATAAATGCTCATCAAATTCAAAGTGTAATCTCAATAAAGCTTCTTCTGGCAAAACTCTTTTGGCAATGCATAGTCAAACAAGCGCTTACTAATAATAGCTCGAGCTTTATTATCTGTCAGTACAGCTACTTCTCGTTTCAGCTTTGATCCAGTCCACAATTTTTTGTTTTGGTTGTTGGCCCAAGGTTCGAACCCAGGTGTGGTGGATGTTCTCATCCCCACTAGGCCAGCCCCTTGGGGTTCATCCAGTCCACAATTTACTTGGGGTATTGTTGATGTTCTTTGGTGCCTTTTCCCAGGTAGAAACTGCTTCTGGGAAGCTCCTTTCGCGAGAACTCAAGGCTGTGGCCGGTGCAATCACTATTACATGTCTCATGGTCTGTTTTTCTGTTTAATGTTTAAAAGCTGATGTTTTATTAACTGTGATCTAAAGTTCTGGCACGTTCTTTAAGCTATGTGACTAACTTGATGTTTCTACCTGTCTTATTGATATTAGTATCTCTCTGCTTTTTAATTCTTAAAGCCATATTTTCCTCGTCTCCCAGTTGCTAAAACAGTACATGTAGTAGCATTAGTTGTTACAGTTGCTAGTAATTTTGTGCAGGTAGCAAATTTTGCTGGCTATGTTGTTGGACCATCTGGTGTCAACTGGATAATTTCCCGATTCTCAAGTAGAGAAGGTACGTTAATACTGCATTTCTTCGGCTACTTTTAGACATCTCTGGATGCGAACGATGTGGTGTGTGGGTTAAGCGTTAACAATGCAGTGCTTGCTCCTGGTTACAGGACTACCGGTGCTTTGTTGGATGATGGTGACTTTCTACCTGGCGGTTAAGGTAAGAACAAAGAAGCAGCGCGTAGAACATAAGATTTTAGTTTAGGATAATAATGAGCCGAGGCATAACATTGACTTTTGCAGCTGATTCTCCACATAGAGGACGCTAAGCGGAAGCAGCAATAGTACATGGAACCCAGAATGGACACCGCATTTGAACTGCTGCTGAGTTTTGAATGTCTGCCAAATTTTGTAAGGAAATGACGAGAGAAGGAGAGCCGAGAGAGGGAGCGTAGAATTAACAGCAGCTTCGCCCTTTGCCCCCCCCTCTAAAGTTTTATGTGGCGCATTTTAGTCAGAGAAAATCTGCCCCGAGGGTCTACAGTCTACAGATAAACCCGTTTGATAAAATAAACTTTAAGGCAACTAACCTTCGGTTTCTCAAGTGTGCTTTATTACGGTCACAACCTCATTTGTTTACTTCTTTTCGGCCATAATATCAAACAATTATTAGTCGTTATCATGAGGAATGTGGTCATGGAATTTGACCTACAATTCCATCAGGAAATGGACAAGCGTCAATAGGATAGGGCACACATTGATATCCTAGGTGTACTGCAGCACCATTAGCCATTCAGCAAATATAACGAAAATAATCAAATGATTATGGAACATTATATGTCCAATCCACCAAATAGTCAGCAAATTTAACGAAAATAAACAAATGATTATAAAACATTATATGTCGTCCAATCCACCAAATAGTCAAATACCCATCCCTCACGCAATTAAGTCATATACTATAGACTTCCACAAATAATTCTTACAGTTAAAATTGTTGAGACGGGAGGTCAAACTTTTGATGGTTTGGACGACAAGTTGGTTTACATTGCTGGCTCTCTTTTGATGGTTTGGACGACAAGTTGGATGACAATTGGTTGGGGCGGGTTATGCTAAACTCAAATCCAAACCTACGGATTTATTCAAAAACTTTTTTGGGTAAAACCCATTGGATATAGAAAACACAAATCCAACCCAACTCGCTAGGTATCCGCGGGTTTATAGGTATCGATGGGTCCGTTTACAAATATGTAATTTCACTAATTTTTCCTTCTATTGTCTATTACATACACACTAAATCACAATCATTTGTACTAAATGTTTAGTATTAAAGATAAACATCCACAAACAATATGATTAATTGAATGTATGAGGAATTAGTTTAGAAATTATAGTTAATTAATTAAGTGTTCCGTGGGTCGTGGGGCATGAACTTGAGTGCTGGTATCCACGGGTTGGATATGGCTAAACCCAAACCTAACCCGTAAAAAGTATAGTGGGTTTAAATCCGAATCCGACCCGCAATCCGTCAAAGCAGGTTTTACCCGCGTTGAGCGGGTTGGGTCCAAATAACTCATTACAATCATCCATCCGAACGACCCCTTATAGTAAATGTTAGTCAATTCACCTAATGGCAAGTTGGAAATTTACTTTGTTGATTAATTACAACCCAAATGCACCCACCCGCCACCTACTCAATCCAGGAAAAAAAAATGTGAATGAATAACGAGTCACAATTGTACCGACTTGTTAGGTAAGGCCATCTCCAACAAAGAGGGGAAGTGCCAAAATCTAGCTCTTTCCTCCCTCTAACAACCAACCAAAAGAGCCAAAAAGCCACAAAAAGCAATAAATTGGGGTTGTTTTAGCCCAATCCAGGACAAAAAAAAGGCAAAACTCGACCCCCTCTCTTTCTTCCCATTAGACGTGACGGGGAGGAGAAGTAATCTCCAGTCGCGCACGGGGCTGCTTCTGATTGGCGCTTGTGACGGATGTGCGGCCCGCGCTGATGATGGGCATTTCTCCCCGTTGAATAAAAAAACTATGGATAAATACAATATATTAGCCACAACTATTTAGAAACGGTAAATTATAGTCACAAATATCGAAATACAAATTAAACGCCATAACTATTGTTGCGGGTCAAGATGTGCCTAATAGTCTGTTACCGTCTTTAATTTTGTAACGAAGACTGCCACATCAGCAACCATGTCTTCTTCCACGTCATATTACTTTTGACTTAATAATTTTAAAACAAAAAAACCCATCGTCTCATCTTTTTCTATCCTTCCTCTTATTCCTCAACAAAGACAATATGCTAGAAGTCTCTCCTCCTCCACCGTCGCCACATCCTCCTCCTCCACCACTCGCCTTCTAATCTCTTCTTCCTATTCTTCCACCAACGCCAACGCTGTAATCATATCCTTCCACCGTGCAGCCTCTTCCCAGTGCGGATCCCTTTCTCCTCCTTCGTCAATTCCCCTGCCGTTGTCGTCGCTCTTTCTCACTATCGATCAACCAAGCAAATCAATCGGTGAATCCAAAGATGGGAGAAGAGAGATGTGAGGTAGTTTGCGGCGATGACTGAAAGAAATTCCTAGATCTGGGCGGGTGACGACGGGGCCATATCCCTGCCACCAAAGCTGCCGGCAGCGAGTGAGGATTTGAGACTTTTCCCCTCCCTTCTCCTCAGCAACTCCAATCTCGTGCCTCTTCTCAACTGAATCCAATTTCCCTTCCTGCATGCACATCATACCGTAACCCACCTCCTCGTTCTTGGTCGGAGAAGGCGCGAGGGGGGGGGGGGTTCTTCTTGGAGAAAGGGCACTAAAAAAAAAAGCGAAGAAATTTGTGATAGATTGCATTAATTGAATGCTTTGTGTGTGAGTTTGATCTACGTAGAGGGAACCCTCCTTTTTGTTAGGAGGCTTTGATAAGATGAATTCTTGGCCAATTGAGCCACCTACCTAGGGCGAATTAGGGCAAAACTCAACCTTCGATTAAGCACTTTAACTTGGGTGTTATTTTGCCGTCTAGATTAAGTTATGAGGGAGTGGTTCTTGCAACCCTTAGTTAATTGGTTAAGATAGCTATGACTCCTAACTTATTGTTGCAATCCTTAGCAGAAAGGTTAAGAGAGCTAGACTTCCTAGTTTATTGTCGCAATCCTTAATCCATTGATTGAGAGAGCTAGGGATTTAACCGGTTGATTAAAAGAGTGAGCTTTCCTTCACTTATTGCGCCCTCCTAACGGTTTATGAACACACCTTCACACATTTGCATTCGATTTGGTCGATCTTGATCTGAGGTTAGGCGGAGGGATACCTGGGTGAAGTCTTCTCTCATTGGGACAACCTCTATTTACTTGTTTGTTTGTTTATTTTGTAGTTTTCTTAGCTTGTAAAACCCAAAGCGATTGAAGTAGGGGTACATGGACTGACCCGGGGTTGACATTTTAAATACTTTTCCTATATTGCACCCGGCTAGAGTTTAAAAACTTGAGCTCTAGTCGGGTAATTCACGGTGTAATTCGTGGTGAGTCAAGTTCTTGGCGCGGTTGCCAGGGAACAACGGTCCATTATTTTGAAAAAGTTTCTTGGTGTTACTCTAGCATTTTCTATCTTGTCTTTTGTTGCGTTTCGTGTTTTATCATTTTGTATTTGTTGATCCACTCTTCGCTTGAAGAGTGGTTTGTGTGTGTTTGATTTTCCTTTTTTTAGTGTTTTTGTGTTTGTAGGTATCAGACATGGATCCTTATGATTTCACCCAAGTATGGGGTTATCCACCACCCACCGAGAGTGGTTACCGCGAAACTTTATGGAATGAAGAAAATGGGGGAATTCAAGGATCCGGGTTCTACTACCAACTTACTTTTCATTAAGAGAAACCATATTAAGAAGGTTTCCCTCCACAACTCAAGGTGAAATCCAAGTTGGTGTTGGCTATGGAGGCTTTCATGGGACAAACCTCAAGACCATATGCCACTCCACAATCGGATCCAAGAAGCGAATTGGAACTCTTGGTGGAGCGGTTTGCCCGGGGTTCCGAGGGAAATGCTTCTCTTTCTTCTTCTTCTCTTTCTTCTCTCTTCCAAACTTATTTTTCTAGATCTAGATCTGTTCCTTTCTCTTGTTCTTCGTTTTTTATCCTACAATCGACAAATAAAAATTGAAGCATCCCGTTTCAAATCCGGTGATGCTCCAAATCTTTCTTCTTTGCAGCTGCTCCTTCCTTCTGTTCTTTCTTTTCTCGGTCTCAAAATAGATGACGCTCCAGATTTACCAAGAGGGGACGGATCTAGGTGAGTCGAGTTTGTATGTTTTATATTTTAGTATTTGTTTGTGAATTTTCAATTCCGACCTTCCTTCTCTCTTTTTTGTGTGTTGCATTTGGTGCTCTTGATTGCGGAGGAGAAATGAGAGGAGACAGAAGACGAGTTTTTTTCCCTCTCCCTCCTTTTGTTTTTCTTCCTTCTTTTAGGTAATATATTGATATTACCACAATTTACCATATATATATATATGGGCAGTTCTAGGGTGCCCAGGGAAAAATCCGGGGTACGGGTAACCAGGGGCATGGAAAATTACCAAAAGCATCACGAAGCGTTTAAGCGTTTTTCATTGGACTTCAACCTAACTGTACCCAGTTTAATTATATCGATTAAGAGGTTAAACCCTATGGATACGACCCGCCGCCCTAACCAATTCCTAGTCCCTCATTCGTCTTGGAGGGGATGTCCCCTCTTAGTTCGAAGTTCGAACATAATCCTTTTATCATCGTTTCTGAAATCTGAAATCTGAAATCCTTTTTATTATTTGATCGACATTCGATTTAGCTCCCAATCCAATATCAAATCCCCAACATCATCATGTTTTGAACCCCAAATCTATGTATCCACGTTCGAAGAGAAGATCCCTTTTCAATCTAAAATCCCCACATAATCATCATTTTGAACCACAAATCCTTGTATCCACAATCGACGTTTTGTTCTTCGCCATTTTATTTCCAACCGGAATCAAAAATCTCCACATACTCATCGTTTCCTTGTATCCACAATCGACTTTTTGTTCTTCGCCATTATATTTCCGACCGGAATTTACACAAATTGAAGATGAAATAAGCAACACAGTCTTCGACCTAATTGAGGAAGAAGATGAAGAAGACAGGATTTGATTCGAATCGGATGGAGAGGTCGCCTTAACTTGTGTTTATGTATTAACGGTGCGTTTAGGACAAAGTCTAGTTGGGCTTTTAAATTCCCTTCAAAAGTGGGCTTGTGTACATGATCCGGATTGTGAAGAGGTTGGGCTTTTATTTACATCTGCGCCTGCTTCTGCTTCTGCTTCTAAATCCTGATCATGTCTTGCGTTCACGCAATTTAAACACAATTATGTGTTCCATCTTTTTTTTGGGATTCGGTAAATGGTAGCGTGTCTCTTTACACATTTATCGGTATGAGGTAAAAAACAATCCGCCCAATTTAACTCTTTATTAATTGCCCATATTCCACTCTCTCACTGTTTGCCCCTCTTGACATAACAAACCTCTTGTAGACTAATTAGAGGCTTGTGGTTGGATACTTAGTGAGGACATTTTTTAAATTTATGTTTTGAAACGAAAGTTAGAATTTCACTTTGAAGTACTTGTGTA